AATATTTCTTAAATACTAAGAAATATTTCTTAAATACTAAGAAATATTTCTTAAATACTAAGAAATATTTCTTAAATACTAAGAAATATTTCTTAAATACTAAGAAATATTTCTTAAATACTAAGAAATATTTCTTAAATACTAAGAAATATTTCTTAAATACTAAGAAATATTTCTTAAATACTAAGAAATATTTCTTAAATACTAAGAAATATTTCTTAAATACTAAGAAATATTTCTTAAATACTAAGAAATATTTCTTAAATACTAAGAAATATTTCTTAAATACTAAGAAATATTTCTTAAATACTAAGAAATATTTCTTAAATACTAAGAAATATTTCTTAAATACTAAGAAATATTTCTTAAATACTAAGAAATATTTCTTAAATACTAAGAAATATTTCTTAAATACTAAGAAATATTTCTTAAATACTAAGAAATATTTCTTAAATACTAAGAAATATTTCTTAAATACTAAGAAATATTTCTTAAATACTAAGAAATATTTCTTAAATACTAAGAAATATTTCTTAAATACTAAGAAATATTTCTTAAATACTAAGAAATATTTCTTAAATACTAAGAAATATTTCTTAAATACTAAGAAATATTTTTTACATACTAAGAAATGATGTTTAAGAAATGATTTCTTAAATACAAAGAAATCTTCTTAAATGCTAAGAAATCCTTCTATCAGTGTTTTTTGTTTAATTCAAATGAACCTATTTGTTTATTAATCTATCAAAATTAATGCCAATATATTATTATCATGATAGATATTGATATTTTTTTGTCAAAAAACCAAAATTTATTATTAACGATTCTTGAGTCAAGAAATTTTTTTCTGAACAAAAAAATTTTTTTTTCTCAGTGTATACACGGAAAGAACAAAATTACACTGGATATCATCCCAGATTATACTAAGTAAAAAAAAATTTCAGATAGTAGCTAGTGTAATCCAGATTACAATGAGTATAATCCAGATATCACTCAGTATAATCTGGATTTTTTTTAGCTACTATCTGAAATTTTTTTTACCTCAGATATCACTGAGTGTAATCTGAGATGATATCCAGTATCATCTTGTTCTTTACGTGTAGGCATCTTTTTTTTACATGTAAACTAAAAATGAAAAATTTTCAATTAATATTCAAGTAACAATGATTTCTTCTCGAATAATTTCTCACGTGTAAAAAAATTTTAAGTATGATTATGATCATAAGTACATCGGTATGAATTTTTTTTTTTTTTTTTTTTTTTTAGAAAGAAGACATATCAGTAATGATGACGAGTAAAAAATTATAGTGTAAAAAATTTTTTTGAGATAATTCAGTTGAATTGAATTTTTCGGGTCATCTGATAGTTTTCACTTGTATCGAATAAAGAAATGAGTAAAAAGGTTGATTGTATGAATAAAATAAATGTTTTCTTCACAAATATAAAAATAAATTACTTCCTCATCATATGTATTTTAATACGTATTAAATTTTATTTTTTGAAAGTACATTACAATTAGTCAAGGCTAAAAATTATTTAGTATGAAATAATAACTTTAATGAGGATTGTAATGAAGATTCATTTTACGTTTTTTTTTAATTACTTTAAAAAAATTAATTACTACTGATAATTATAAGCATGACAGAAAAAAGAAAATATTTACGGGTTTTTAAATAGTTTTCTTCATCCTTAACTCAATAAAATATGCATGACAAATAAATGTCAACGAATAAACTTATAAAGTTATAAAAATTGATTACAAACCGCGAGTTTGATGTGTCAAGGAAAAGCTTTCATTTCATTTGAACAATAGGTAAGAAATAAAAAATTAAACAGTCCTTGGTGATCAATTGAAAGTGATGAAACACGTAGGTGATTGTCTTGTATAAATTTTTATCGCAGTTCTGAATAAGTCTCTTTAAAAGGACACCAGATTGCTAAATGGACAAAATTTTTATAGTATAAAGTTTACATGTAATTCATTGTTGATCTTTCATTCATTTAACAATGGCATCTTGCGTCAAATTTTACTGTAAAAAAATTATTTTCAAGCTTAAAATTACTTTAATTAAGAATATTTATTTTTAATTGTAAATAAATAAAATTTTCGTTTAATAAAACTGATGACGTTGAAGTTA